GATTCACAGCGTGCGTGCTTTCGCCTGCTGTTGTGCTCGTGACCAGGTGGTGCTGAGTCATTTCAGCTATGAGCAAGTGGAAGAAGCACCCGGAGCCTTTTGAAGGCATGGCAGAGCTGTTTAAACCCTCGCCCGACAAGTGCGACTACGACAACGACCTCTTTCAACCCCGCCAAGAAAACATGGAAGTCGTTCACCCTCCAATGGCTTGAGAACGTGCGCATCAAGCCAAAGCACCACGGAAGCAAACAAGACCTCAAAGTGCGTATGCATGCGTGTGCGCGTCTGTGTTTGGGCCTGCGTGTGTGTTTGTGTTTGTGTTTGTGTGTGGTTGTGTTTTGCTCGCCATCACATGGTTTTGCCATCCGCCTCCGCTCCCGCTCTGCACACACGCACACACTCACGCAACACACACACACACACACACACACACACACACACACACACACACACACACACACACACACACACACACACACACACACATGAATGCAACACGCAACACGCACACTCACGCATACTCTGTAACCCCACTGCTCGGCGCTCGCAGTACCACGACAAGGAATCGTTTTTTGAGCGCATCATGACGTTCCTGAACGCGGAGGTGTTCTACCAGCTCTCCCAACCCATGCTGTACAACCTCATGTCCAAGGGCATGAGCCCGGCCCCCTCACAGCCATCCACACCAGCAGCTGCTGCTCGCGTGGCCCAGCCAACACCGTACGTCACACTACTTGCTTCTGCTGCTTCTGCTGCTGCTACTGCTGCTGCTGCTGCTGTTGTTGTTGTTGTTGTTGTTGTTGTTGTTGTTCTCTCTCATGTTTGTCAGTTCAAGGTACATGAGTGCACGCGAATGTGCCGCGGCTGATGAGGTGCCTTCGCCCTCCAAAGCGTGCGCCCGTTGCTTACCCTCACTCACCTGTGAACTGCAGTGGGCGGCGTGACCTGATGCAAGCATGCCAAGTTCTGGACAAGGAAGAAGCCATGTCCAAGTTGTGAGTCACTGGTGCAAGTGAACAGTACACCTGCTCATTCGACTTCAATTTGTGCAAATCCCTGAGCGTGTGTATGTGTGTGCGTGTGTGAATTGTCGACCATTTGCCTTCTGCATTTTCTCCTCCAGCACCTCATTCTAGGATGCCTTTGCTCTTGTTTGCGGGTTGCTAGTGCTGAAAAAGTGTCCAAGGGCGTTGTTTCAATGCCACCTACGCAGGAGCCAGAGCAGCAGAAGCCAGGCGATGATCTTGATGCGCAACTCGAAGCCGGTGAGCTGGTGTTTGCGCGTGTGAGCACGTGTACAAGCGTGTGTCTTCAACTTGTACGTCATGAGCGCTTGTATTGTGATGATTGTTTGTACGGTGTTTTCTGTGTCACACGCACACACACAAACATGGCAGATGGCAGATGACACACGCTAACACGTCGAATGCATGGCCACACACCGCACCCCGCACGTGTTGATTGCAGCGGCTGAGGTTGAAGACGTGGAGCAAGATGAGGAAGAAGAGGACGAGGACGAAGCGGAGGAGAGCGCAAGCGAAAGCAGTGACAGTGAAGAGAGCGAGAGTGGCGATGACGACGACGACGACGAAGAGGAAGATGAAGGAGGGGCAGAGGAAGATGATGATGAAGATGAAGAAGAAGAAGATGAAGAGGAGGAGGCGGAGGAGGACGCGCTGCCGAAACGTGCTTCAAAGGTACCCATAGTCTGTTCTTTCGCCAACTGCAATAGCTTCCGCATTGATGTGGGTTTGTGCAGCACGCTGATGCGCCAAAGTGGCACGGGCTAATGGTCGCATTCCTGCTTTTCCTTGTTGCCCTGTTGTTTCGTGTGCTACCCCAGCGGCGCGCTGCTGACAAGGAAGTGGACAAGCAGGTCTGTCAACCGTGTCGTCTGCGTGTCTTGCGCGCACTTGTTTGCTTGTGTGCAGGCGCAATGGGTGCTCGTATCGTCTGCCCGTGTCGTTTCCAGCGTGCTTTGTGATACAAGGCAAGGGAGCTTTCATTGTTTCTCGCTTACTCGCGTGTGTTCTCATGCTACTGCTGCGTCGTTTCAACAACACACAGACGGCAGCGAGTGTTGCCCGTTCACTGAAGAGCAAGTCGTCCTCACTCAAGTGAGTGCACGGTTGCTTGTCCGCCTGTTGCGCTGTGTCGTGATTTTGTCGTGTTAAGATGTGCTGCGTTGGTGAAATGTTTGATTCGTTTGTTTGTTTCTTGTTGTTTTCGTTGTCTTGCGCTAGTCGCTGACACAAGCCAACTATAGTGTCCAGTTGGTCTTACCACGCATACGCGCTCACACACCAAAACCACGCCTTCCCTCCCCTTCCTCGCAGGAGCACCGGCGCAGACCCGATTGACGAAATCAGAGCTGAGCGGCAAAAGGCGGGAAAGAAAGCAATGCAGAAGAAGAAGAAGCAGCAGGGCAAGACCA